TAGTAGTAGTAGTAGTAGTAGTAGTAGTAGTAGTAGTAGTAGTAGTAGTAGTAATGCTATTTCCACTTCGTCCATAAAATTGCAAGCCATCTTAAGGCAGATAGCCAATTTACTTTTACTTCAGCCATATTCTTTATCGATGCATTTATTATCGTCCTCACAAACATTTGTGAGGCAGCGTGGTGGAATCAGGCTCTCGTCAATGTTGGGGAATGTAGAGTCATTAGTATCAACCTAAAGCTTGTTCACTTGTCTTTATTTTGGATGAAAAAAAAACATCCATTTATCTTGAATACAAGTCGAGATATTTGCGAATGAAGGAGGTGGGGGTCACCTGTTTTCAGAGATAAAATTAATGAGAAAATGGCCATCAAAGATTAGTTATTTCCTTAGCTTAAGAGTCCGTAATAACTGAACATTTTTATTTTGTGTGCCTTTAATCAACGTTTTTCAGAAATATCCACACAGAAATGAGTTCTTTTATGGGCATGAAAGGTGTTGAGCCAAAAAACAAAAAAAATGTTATAAAAATGCACAAACCTGCGTTTTAAATTCAAGTTTCTTCACTTTGATTATTTTGACGAGAGCCTGATTCCCCCACGCTGTCTCACAGTTTTGTTATTGTCATATTGCAGGTTGAGGAATCACCGACATGGCAATCTTCTATGTCACACTGGCCATGCTAGCGGCTAGCAACTTGGTGATAGAAGGTGAGTGTAGACAGTTAAACTATTCTTCTTTGTTTAAATGTACTTCCTTTTACGTCCCAGACAACACAATTTAAATCATTGAGCAGACGGGATTTCTTAACCTGCCAGTCAGGGCGAACCCTTGCTGAGAGGGCGAATGCCATACATCAGCAGACAGACGGAGGAACTTGATAAACTACTCCCAACTTGTGAATCGAACTCGGGCCACCTGCGTGTGACAACGAAGTGTCTAACTGCAACACCATAGACACACGTAAACAATTAAACAAAAAAATCTTTATAAATTCTCAGATCGTTCAAGAATGAAGAATAATGATATTGTATAGAATTTTTGTTTAACACTAACTACAAAAAAGCTAAGGAAAAAAAAAAAAGCAAAACAACAAAAATAATAATAACAACAGGAGTTGATGGCCCTTGATTTCTAGCAAGGAAAAAAAACAGGAGTCGACTGCCCTTGATATCAAGCAAGGGAGCGTAATATATAAGAAACTTTGCAAGAAGGGGAATAAATTATGCCACAGTCTTGGAGCTAAATTCTGTTTCCTGAGAATCATATTATTATTAACTTCGTCCTTCTCGTTCCCTTATCTTTGAATCTTCGCTGCTGCGCCCGAGAACTGAGTGATGAGGCAAGTCTCCCGGTAAAAGCGCATTCGTGCATGTCATAAATCTTAGTTTATAGAGATAAAAATAAGTCGTTGTTTGTTACTTGGTTTTTTTGCCTGATCTTAGGAGTTTGGTATCGTCGCTGTCCCTTCTCCACCGACGGCCCAATAACTGTCAACACTCTGAACCTCACAAGGAAAAGGGCAGTGAACTGATCTCGCAGAGATGGTCTTTGGGGTTACACAACTTTGCTCTCCCCGGCACACTCTCAAACGTCTTTTTTTCCCTCAGCCACTCAAACTTGCTGGGTTAAGTCAAGAAAACCAAATAATCTACCATTATTGACTTCTTTTTTTTTTTTTAAACGGCAACTAGATCTAAATGTGCAGAAATAAGACTAGTAAATAAAAAGCAGACCAGATGCCGACATTATTATTTCGTAGATTGTTTTCTATTAACATACTGCAAGCAGTAGTCTATTGAAATTGACATTGACCTACTGTGATTATCGGAGGGAGGGGGTAGGGATGGGAGAGGGAGAAGGGGAGGGGAAGGGTGGAAGAAGGGGAGGGATGGGAGGGGAGGATGGGTTGGGGAGTAGTGGGAGGGAATGAGAGGGGGAGGGATGGGAATGGGAGGAGGGAGCGGGAGTGGGGGAAGTGGGAGTGGGAGTAGGAGGAGACGTGAGCTCTATGTCGCAGTAGCTGTGAAGGGGTTAAGCTTGTGAGAACTTGTAAGTAAGCAAATGATGTTAACAATAATGACCATAGTGGTAACAAAAATGATAATAATTATATGTATCGACAAAGTTGGAAAACTTGATAAAATAATATATTATATAATACCCCGTTTTTCCTCAGGACATAAATAATCGTATTTTTCTTATATCCCGATGCGAGAGTTTGTTTCATTTGTCGGCACCCTGTGGGTTTTGAGAGTCTGATTTCATATCTTTTTGATTTATGACTCTTGGCATATTGGAAGCTCTAGTTTTCATGTTTAAAAGAATCTCATTCCATACTCGGTGATGTACGGTCATTGGATAACTGTTAAATTTTGTTGCATACTATCCAGTGCTGTTTTAAAATTTTGAACCTCCTATCCCAGTAACATTTGGTGAAAATGCCGGCAGAGTTGTGAATAAGATAGGTCACAATATGCCTAATGTGAGCATCCGATTCAAATAGTTCATACCTCATGCAAAAATGGGTTAACGTTTGTGTCACAACGCGGTGGAATAAGGCATTAGTCAATTTTGGGACTTGTGGAGCTATTGGTATCATCTTTAAGTTTACTAATCGGTCTTGTTTTTGATGAAAGAAACTCCCATCTGTTTTGAATACAAGTTGAACTATTTGTATTTGAAGGATGTGAGGGTTGCCTGTTTTCAGAGGTAAAAATTTGTGAGATAATTGCGCTAAAATTTAGTTATTTCCATTTCTTGAGGGTCCGTGGAAACTGAAAATTTTCATTTTTTTTTGGTCTTTAATTAAAGTTTTACTGTAACATCAAAACAGACATGTGTTCTTAAATGGACATAAAAGGGTTGAGCAAAATCAAAATTTGATAGAATGCCGGCTTCTTCAGTTCCTTTATTTTGGCAAGCGCCGGATTTCACAACCATGCCTCACATTTATTTTCTGCAGACAATACGATCGTCCAGACTATGTCCATGTGTGGAATTCAGTCCGTGCCTCCAAGTAATGCTGACCCAAAGAGCAACGTGCAGACACTGACCGTTCTGACTTACCATTACCTTGGTGTCCAAAAACAACCATATGGAAGTCCTACCACGTCCCTGACCAGTACAAAGACTGCCCTGGAGCCAAGAAGATACATCCCTACCAAAGGTCTTTTCAGCTTTAACGAGCAAACTAAGCTCGATTTAGTTTAGTTTAGTTGTAGTTTGAGTAAAAGTTGTAAGGCACTTGCAACACTGATAGGTCATATCAGTGCCGAACATTAGAGGCGATACTAGAGAGTAACACGCAAAGAGAAAAGGGAGGGAAGATTAGGACGACAGACGTTTGGTAGATAAGAAGTGGTAAACTACACCAGAGTAGCCACCAACCATCCCAAAATAAGCTTGGTTCATGGATGAAAACTCCACTGAAGCCCTCTATAATTACAGTTAGTTAAAAGTGTCTTTGGTGCATGCTGTCACCGCTACACACATGTGGCCCGACGAAAAGAGGAGTATCTAGAATCTTTGGCTTAAATAAACAATAAATAAGCTTGTTTAACGTTTGAAAAGTTTACATAAGCTTTTCATTCTAAAGACTAGTTAAAAATCTCCTCCTTGCATGAAGCCACGTCGACCGACATAATGTTATGCCATGGAGAATGCAGACCCCAGAATCAGATGTGCGTCATAGGTCAAGTCAGCTCCGAGTGAGTGGCTCAAGTAGATTTATTTATACCAGTTCACTTTTCTCTCTTTTCGTTTAGTTTTAGCAAGAGCATTACAGCACTTGCAACAGAATAAGGTCATACGAGCGTCGAAAATTTAGAGGTAAAACCAAATATCGTGTATACAAGATAGTTCACTCCTTTCTTTGAGCCAGTTGATTTTTTTTTTAAAGCGGTCCTCAAAATTCGGAGGCGCCTTCTTCGAAAAAGAGCGAACTTTGCGATCAGAGCTACCCTACTTGTGTGAAAAACAGTAAAAGTGAGACTAACAAACCGTGCTATTGCTATTATTCTTCCGGAGAAACGAAAGAGAATTTCAAAACATAGACTGCAGCGCCATCTGAAGCAGTGCGCGGACTTCCGCGGACACTTTTATGACTGAGTGAACTATCTTGTTACGTACGATCTTTGGTTAAACTCTTACTAAAACAAAAGAGGTGTTACAAGTGAGTATCAAACCTAAAAAAGGAGGAGAGGATAGGCCGGTAGGTGTTTGATAGAAAAGAAGGAATAAACCACACCTGAGCACCCGCCAACCACCCGCTCTCTTCTTTGTTCACCAAAGTTTCTCTTTCTTGGAGCTACCGCTGGCCAACTTGGCTAAGAATTGAATCTCCTGCTCAATCGAGCAACCCGTACGCCTGTGGTGTAGCGTCGGACGCAGGAGGCCCGCGTTCAATTTCTGAGTTTGGGGAATTTTTATCGAGTAGCTAGGTCTCTTTATTGAGGTTGGGTATCACTCTCAGCCTGGGCTATCCCTGAAAATTATAGCCAAAGCCTGCTACCTAAATGATCCAGATTGTATTTGAGTGGTGGAAGGGGGGGACACAATTGTTACAGACACAAATTATTCGGTATACTACAGTGGTATTCGGGAATCGTATGCCTATAGATATAATAATATAAAAATTACTAATCTGTCATTACGTTTATGTGTGTGGAAAAGAGCAGGATGTGTGAGAGAAAGTATGTGTGTATATGTGTTCGCAAGCGTGGGTGAGCGTGCATTAGTGTGTGTGTGTGTGTGTGTGTGTGTATGTGTGTGTGTGTGTGTGTGTGTATGTGTCCCTGCGTGCATGCGTGAGTGTGCATGCGCGCGCGCGCGTGTGTGTGTGTTTGTGTGTGTGCATGTGTGCGTGTGTATGTGTATGTGTGTGTGTGTGTATGTG